TTTTGGTAATGAATCGAGGTGCGATGAACCATACGTTAGGTTGTTACTAAACTTTCTCTGTATACCACAAACACCAAATGAGTTGCAAGGCACCGGGTTCATCAAAGAACCAAACGATACTTGGCCCTACTGTCGTATGCACTAGATTCGCGGTAACACCAAGGCAACTTGCTGTAAACCATTCCGACAAGTACGGGGCCAATTGTGTTTCGCTTCATTTCGGCTGAGGGCGCAAATTTTGTCGAGTTGTAACGTAGCGGCTTTAGTCTATGGCAACTTGGGGCCCATAAAGCTCTCATATTTGTAGGAAGTACATGTTGTTTGGGAGGCTCGAATTTGATCAAACAGCAACTTTAGTTTAGGCATTAGGGAGGAAACCGGTAACAATGCGATGCATCTGTGAAAAATCGTAAATAGGATGCAATAGAACGTGTGGTTTAACACTTGAAAACAAGCAACATTCAAAACCACTTTCGCTCGTTTAGCTGCAAATTATCCAACCGTCGTGGAAATAAAAACCAACTTTATTTATGCCGAGTGGATTACTGTCTTGAGCTAATGGTGTGAAGAAGGTGAAATGAAACCAGGCCCCATCGAATGGTTTGTAGGTGAGCAAACCTAACTGCATATTCAATAGCGAATTGTCACTAAACCACCAACAACTGACTGGTGCAAGGGCATCCCACTATCGCGTCCAACATTCCTTTACATACGGTTTCTGTTACGCGAAGTATGCGTAGGTGCTATGGATATACTTTACTTCCACCATTTTGTTGTGTTAACATAAAATACAAAAGAAGTTGCTGACCTCCCTAAACTGTTGCCGTTTATCAGATCCCGTGTACCACAAGTCTTGCAATATAGCTGAGTCGTAGTGGCCCACTTGTTAGTGGTAATAGTCCACAAACAATGATAATTTGATCCAATACTGTGCTTGCCTTGATTTACAAATGCAGTGAAGGTTAACACAGGTTAGCATTCACGTCTGTAGTTAATTCGGTCAGTTCGGTAGCAAAGTAACAACTGCCGTGCGCCATTTCACAGGTACACGAAGCTAAGCGTTTTTTAAGTCAGAGGAATAATGTTGTTGGCTTCTGTGTTCGGGAAGTGTACCATTATTCGCTTATAATTCTTTTATGATTTCCAAGCCCTTACCGAATATAACGCGTTTTGCTTAATGATATAGTCCACATAATCGTTAGGAAGGCGCTGAAGACTGACAACAGGATCGGTGCTCATTGACTGAAGTAACTTGCTTTCTTTAGTTCTGGTGTCAGAATTTATGGAACCAAAATGGATCGTTTACTTCTGTAAATCTGAATGTGGGAACATTAATGGGTTGCACGTTCGTTAAAGAAGCATAACTATTCTTCGCTACTAAGGTCTTAACTTGATGCAACGTTGATGCCATTACGCTGCCCGCGTCACGGCTGTATTGTCAATTCTATTTATTTTGCTTTTGTGAACAGATTATATGAAAAACTGGCACAGTTTAGGTTCATAATTTTATTAGCTCATGGTGCATTCTTGTCTCTCATGACTATGTGAACTAGAACATTAGTGTACTCGACTGCTATTAGTTCGCTTGAGGCATGTTGATCTTCTTTAAGCCTGTGTATCCTATTGTCAAAACAATTCGTCAACCCTCACTCGCTTGTTATTCATTAGATGGGGTAATGTAGTTGTTGTGTGGTCTAGTAATGTCAGGTATCAAATACCTTCAGCACTGTAAGAGTATTATTTGATAGTCGTTATCTAGTTTGGCCTTCTATCCTTTTCTAATACAATAGATTGGGGTGTACTTTTAAGACAGCATGGGTAGTTTGGAATCATACCATCTGGATAATAAATAACTATGCTTCCACTAAACGTAAAAGAATTGCGAGCATTTTCATAGTTTCGACTTCATTATTGTCAATGTGTAACGTTAAAAAATACTTATACTTTCATGGGTCTTCACATTGAGTTATCAAGCAAAAGTCTCCACTAGTTACCTACGGGAAGTTTGGTTTTGGCATTGGTACCATAAATACCTATTATCCATCTGCGCAACTACAATGTATAGTCTGATGTACCGGCCAGTAATCATTTGCTTTTAATTAGCTTGTGCTAGTAACTCCAGTTAAGAATCGTCACATCTTTATTGGTTCTGTGGGGTGCGACTCAGATGTAAATCGCCCGTAAGTGCCACCTCCGTGCCAATTACAGAAGTAGCGAGAACAGTTAGATCGGTTGGGACAAACATGTATAGACAAAAGCTACAAAGAATGGAGGGCAGTTAAGCAGCGACAGACTGTAGTATGCTACGTGACTCAAGGTGGGAGCAAGTGATCGGCATGTACCATCAGTTAAACAAAATGACGATCGGAGGATATAACAACGAATAAAATCCAATCTCTCGAAATACTGAAAGCATGATTGATTCTTGTTCACTGGGGTCTCTCCCTAGAAGGCTGAATGAGGGAAGCATTCGATAGAGATATCAAGTGGGGAGACAAAGTGAAAACGGGAAATTAGCGTAGCAATTTTAGTAGGCGTTAGAAGATAAAGGGCGCGCCTGCAGTCCATTGGGTCCAGGCTTCTTTGTTTCTCGTTGTTTATTATTTGCGTGTGGACTGGAGTATCTTGTCGGTGGACCGTCAGGGCGTTCTAGTAGGACATCCAACAGTGGCTAGTTTAGAAAAGGCCGAAGGAAATAGTAATAATGTATCAGCTATACGCCGTAGCAGCGCTTAGCTGCCATGCGACCACCACGAGTTGCACGCATGCTCAGTACACCGCGAGGACTCCCACCTCTATGTAGATTGGAACCTACGCCACAAGATTACGAAAAGAGCCCGTTACCTCTAGTCTACGGACTGATCGAAGGACATTTCCTCTGCTACAGGCCAGATGGTACGTTTTGGAGAGCTCACTCCCTCAACGCACCCCAGTGCACAGCGACGAAAATCTACGTCTCACGCAGTATCGCGGGTATCGTCTTTAGAGAACCGTTTCTCAGAGCTCGTTTGACAAGCTAGCCGTCTTCACATCGGTAGTACGTAGTGGCGGTCTCTTGGAGACAGGATGATGGGCATGTGGATCAAAAGATTCCGCAGTTTCTTCGGGGATTTCGGTTCCGGAATGTAAAACTCGTGGTGGGTGGGACGTGATGGGACATGCCACGTAACGCCGTATGGGAAAGAAGCAAGTATACGGTTTTGGTTTTGGTTTTTTTACTGCTTTTGTGTATTTTGTCGCTTACCAAAACCTTGGTGAATAAGACAGATGCTTAACATGAAAGGTTGAAAATGCGCGTGTCAAGGAATATGGCAAACCCTAACAAAATCTGAAAGATGGAACGTGCGCTTGGCCTGTCTATGGCGTCCGTCAGTTATTTGAGGTTAGGGATGGCTTGGCGGAGGGTTAAGGGTAAACGAGAGGTCTATGGTGCCTGGCAAGGAAGATGCGGCTGCGGGTAAGTTTGACAGTGCGGCTGTACCAGTTGAGGTTAGAGGAGTTTCTACTAATGATGCAACATTGCGACAGCCGATGGACACCGTTGTTCGGTGATCATTCTGGTATGAGGTAAAGTGCTTAAATGTTCACTGGAGAACTCTGAATGAACCTGGGTCGGGAAGCTGAAGGGGACGACGCACTGCGTCTGTGCGGACGAAAACGTTAGTGCAGGTCGAGAGTCCATTGTACGTTGGAACATCTCTGATCTGCTCACAAGGAGTGGTCGGTTGAAGCGAACGCATGCGTTGAGCAAGGGTGGCTGTAAAGTTTAACGATACCAGCCTCTTTTGTTGCGTAATGGGCTGCTGGGCGTGGCCGATTTGGCCTTTGATACAGGGGAGGCGAGAGCGTTGCGTAATACCTCAAGTTCATTAGTACTAAGGCAAGCTCAGTAGGAGAGGTTACATGATACCTACATGAAGTAGGCAGTTGCTGTGATGTGGTAAGGTCGTTCGGTGGATATCTAGCGAGTGGCGTTGCACAATCTGCTTCACTAGGAAAGTGCTCTATGATCGCGTCAGCTAGTTGCGCGGCTACAGTGAGGGGATAGCCATTGGCGGATTTGACGATGGTCTTGATTATTTCGGTAGGTACAGAAGACAGTTTCAGAGGGACAGAGTCATCTAATGGGTACGAGCCGAGGAGTTTCTTCATCTCAACCAATATGGCATATGTCCTTGTATCTCCTCGATCCAAGCCATGAAACAACTGTTTGATTCGCGTATTGGCTGGTTGTTCCCGCCGGGTCACGATCTGCTGCCTCAGAGCTTCGTGAGGACGATCCGTATTTGGGCTCGAAAGATTGTCTGTGGACTGTAATGCGAAATTTCTGGGATGGGTAGTTAGCAGATAACTAGATTAAGATTCTTCGGAAGAATGTTATGACGCCAAGGCACAAACTCTGACACTAGAAGCCGAAAAGTTTGGTCATGAAATGGGATGGGGACAGACAGCGAAGGAACACCAATGGACAAGCCGAAAATGTTAGTATCAGCTTGATCCATAGTATGCCACGAAATAATAGTTGCAAAAATCCTATTCAGCAGGGAAATAAAAAGTGCACAGCTACAATGTTTTCGGCGGTGGCGGAACCGTGCTCGCAGTCGGGGTCACCAATGGTGTGTTATTCAGATGCTTGTCGCAAAAGGTGGCACGTAAGTGACGTGCCAATTACGGAAGTAGTGAGAACAGTTAGATCGGTTGGGACAAACATGTATAGACAAAAGCTACAAAGAATGGAGGGCAGTTAAGCAGCGACAGACTGTAGTATGCTGCGTGACTCAAGGTGGGAGCAAGTGATCGGTATGTACCATCAGTTAAACAAATGTACGATCGAAAGATAAAAACAAGCTTTAAATCCAATGTCTCAACATACCGAAAAGATGAGTGGTTCATGTTCACTACAGTTCTATGTGTGCTTGGCATTATTTGGTCGTTACTCAAGACATTTACACCATATGAAACCCTCAGGTGATAGTTAATCTGCATCGTTCTCCATGCAGCTCATCCGAGAACAACAGGTGCAACTGAAAGATAGGATGCATGAGAGTATAGCCTCGCTCAGTCACACTGTCCAGACATACCGAATGAATACCACGCAAAGCATTCTGAGGATGTGCAAACGCTTCAATCAGACAAATGTGGATAATCTGAACGAGTCCCTGAGAAAAGCGATACGCAGCGAAGTTGAGATAGACATCCGAAAGGTAAGCATCGCTTGTACCTCGCAAATTCTCACATTCCACTTCGACATTTTCATGTATACCGTGGCGAATTAGCATTGACTAGACACTGACAGGACTACGCATATTCAGAGTGGGTACATGTTTATTATGACAAAATTTTCAACCGGAACGGTGTTCCTGAAACCGCCAATGTGGCACTGTAATGTGAATTGAGGACGCACCCAGTGGACTTACCCTAAGCAACAGACGTGTAGTAATCGCGCTCCAATTCTAACGGATTTCTCTCCTCTCTGCGTTTTTGCAACCTAGACAGCGTATTGTCCTGCGGATTGAATTTACTAGCGCTATTCACTGTGCCCTCGTACATGGCATTATATCACACCTTCCGTATTAAACTGTTCTCGTACGTAAATCGGCGCTCACAAGGTTATGGAATTAAAGCCCAACCCTCAGTTTTGTGACATCGTTCGAGGCATAAACCTCGAGGCTTACCAACGATCCCAACTGGTGCTTCTACGTTGTTTCTCAAGACGACTGTAGGGGGATTTGTGCTCTCTTATTCTGTATGTGTATATCGCTGGAATTCAAGTTGAGGAACAAAAACCTGTTAAATCAGGGTGGGCGTCCATAGACCTGCCAGACAACAAGGCATGCTTGTTTGCTTTGCCAGCGTGTGCAGTCGAGCGATTGCGCGCACGACACATGATGCAGCCAACCATTGTCGTGAGCCATGGAAAATGGGACAGTTGATTTACCGTACAACCTGCGCGCGGCCACAAAATTGCAGGGTATCAATGCTCTTGGCAAACCTGAATGGGAAATGGGACGTACGTTTGCGAGTCGTCAATAAGGTCCCAACGTGCGGTAATTGCCGTAAGGCATTCCACTCTGAATGTATATTGATAAGTCTACACGAAACTAGGCAATACCGCGACAAAACCTAGCGTTCTGGTTTTGCAAGGTGTGCAAGTCCATCACGGTTGTTAGTATATTAATAAAAAATATGAAAGCTGACGGAATCATTTGCGCAACTGGTAAACGTCAGGGACACACTTTTGAAATCAAACGAAGCTACGCCTGTATGTCAACGAACCCCGATCCATTCCTCATTCAGGCCAAGTAAGAACCTGGGGTCCGAACCGCACCTCAACACCACAGTCTACAATAGACCCAAACCACTTCACTCCCCTAATTGGACGGATCTTTAACAGCCTTTTACTGTTTACGCTTCCTCCAGGGGTGTAGAATTCAGTAATTCAGTCGCCATACTTGCTGTTCTAATTTACAGCCGGTCTACAGTAAAAATGACAGAACAAAATGTGAATCGATAGTTGCCAGCAAGTGGCCAGAAAGTTCGCATCTGCCTCCACTTACCGGACTTGGCGTAACTAAGGTATGGTAGCATAGATCGCTATCGCTAATGCCGCCAACAAAATCAGAAAAACAACAGGACCTAGTGCTTTTAAGCTGGTGATCATCAGATGCAACAATGTGGTCTTACGTCTTGCGTAAAGCAACATTCCTGAATTCAAATTTAGTATATTAGTGGTAAACTGATAGACGAGTGTACTCAGTGGGACTCCAGCTGTACTTGCATCGTTGTCCTTGATAACCCCACTACGCGGCAACGCATCGCACGTCACTCAAATTCACTACACTACGGTGCTCCTTGACTACCTCGCATAAGACTAAATTCCGCGACTGAGATGAAGGACATTCTTTTATCTGTGCTTGGACTCAGCAATACATCAAACGGAGTGCTCATACTACTGAAAGTTCCGCAGAAGGATCGTTAAAATGTTATGAACAACTAAGTGGGAAGCTGAAAACAAGATGAGAAAACCGCCACTGTTCGCATTGTCCCCGAGTCGCAAGCTTCCACTTCCAAAGAAGCTCAGTTGCATAACCGAGAGCAATAGAACGCCAGGCAGTCTCTCTAAGAAATTTCGTTGTTAATGCGTTGACAAGGACTGCCGCGTCAGAGAATTACAAAGGTTGTGACGTTAGCTTGCTGAAGTTGATTTCACAATCCCAGTTAACGGTACAGACCCCTCTAAATAACTGCGTTAAGTTCCGTGACACGCTGCTACCAGAACTTCGACTACAGGCAGCAGGCACACAACGACAGGCTCCTGACTACTTAATGGGGGCGACATAATGAGCGACAAATCCCGCCGTGGATTCCACTGCAGCGACCACTATAGCAAGCGTAATAATATCCGGAGAGACACCGCAGGAGGCGAGAGACGATCAGGGTCATCATACTTTATGCAGCAATGTATCCCAACTCCATCTCTAGAGCCGGTGTTTCCTTAAAAAACTGAGTGTTAGCCGATCTCAAGCTTATCGGCTAAGTCTCAACACTGCTGTATACACATTCCACCCAACATGTATCCCATTAGGCACTCATGTATTTTATACCACTCCACCAGGCCACTTCAGTGAACTGCTAGAGCTTAGACTGCGTCAGGCCCTGAGGTGGTGGGACTTCATCATGTTAATCGAGACATGGTTAAGCGAAGTATTCACGGAGACTGAAATCGTACTACTGGGATGTCCATTCTGGGCAACGATTGACCAAATAGAGGAGGTGTTCTTATGCACTATGACCGCAGTGAGCCACACCTTGATCTCACCGATGTCTCACGGAGACCAAGGCTGTTGATGTGCTTTGGTGCCGTCTTCACCTTTGATGGTGTGACACACGTTTAGTGGGCAGCCTATAGGGCTCTCCGTCCCCCACTTCAGAAATGGACAATCGTCTAGTTTCTACTATGAAGGCCATACTGTTTGGTAACTTCAATCTTCACGCTCTTACAACCCCAGCCTATCGCCATGAGAAATTCGAAATGGACATACAGGAGCTGATCACTGGATTACCAATATACAACCACGTTGGTTCCCCCACAAGATTCAGGACATGGAACAAAACAAGTATCCTCGATCTCCTGTTCATTAACGAGGAGCTTGCGCTCGAAACGCTATCGATAGATAGTCTTTTGGGCCGCAGCTCTCATGCAACACTCTTGTTCAACTGCACCTGTTATGCAGACTATTCCACAGAAATCAATGACGACTGTCAGTTTATTACTGATTACGGCGTACTGAACACACACGTTAATGCAACCAACTAGTCATTTCTAGCCGAACTACCCCCGAAGTCCTCTGGTGGGATTTTGTTCATCCGTTAAACAAGTTAGTAGCCAGTTCTTCAAGAAACATGTCCGGGCGCACAATGAGAGTAAAGCCATTCATACGCAGCAAGACGCGAAACTTCATGAACACAAGAGATTCACTCTGGAGAAAATACAAGGAGTCAACGGGTGTCGAAACATGGGATGTCTACACTATCTAGCGAAATCATTGCGTGAACTTGGTACGCGAGGATAAGCTAAAGCTTCAACAGGATCTAGGTGATAAATTCTCTTTAAACCCAATGTTCTTATATAGACATATCAAAGAAGTCCGTGAAGTGCATCGAGGTATTCCTGCCCTCCGCACGCCAAGTGGACAAGCACAAACTACATCAGAATCGGCCAACGCCATACGTCATCAAATCTCTCCAAACTTTGTTGTCCATGCTGTTCGCGCAACTGGTACAACCACCAAGACTTAGCCATATCTCATTTACGGCTACAGATGTTCTGGTGCTGATAACATCCCAACAAAGGCACTGAAGTTATCCGCAATTATTTTGGCGAAACCACTAGCCAATTTCTTCGGACGGTGTCTCAGCACGATGCGGGTCGCATTCAAGTGGGGGAGTCCTGTATACCCGGTCAAATAGAGCCAACAGACACTCCTTCCAGGGCTCTCCAACGTCATGGAGTCTATTGTTGCTGAAGCGCTTATGAATTACTTCAAAAGATGTAACATTATTGCACGGAACAACACGGATTCCGTCAGAACCGGTCTTGCTCCACAAATCTGCTACTTTCTCTCTCATGTTGCACTGAAACCATCGGCAGGGGTGTGAGAATTGACGCAGTTCCTCTAGAGTTCTCAAAGGCGTTCGACCGTCTTAACCTCCACATGCTCATTCACAACCTTCAGAGCTGTGGAATCGGTGAATTAGTTCTTGGTTGGATAAGTAACTTCCTGATTCTGCGACATCTGAATGTGAGAGTTCGCTGTGCCATCTGACCTTATTGGTGTTAAGTGACACAGGGCTCAGTACTTGGTCCACAGCTGTTCTTGATGTACATAAATTACCTCGCGAAAATGATCACTTCAAATTTCGTACTCCGCGCTGATGATCTTAAGATTGAACAAGTCATCAAAACAACGGGTAGAGCATACGAATGGGCAACTCCGAAGCTACTTCATTTCAATGCCACCAAGACACTGAGCATACGCCGTCGATCCAGATTTGAGTACAGGTTGAGACAACAAGTTTCGCAACGCGCTCACACTGAACGCAACCTAAGTGTGATAGTACAGGAGAATTTACTGTTCACCTCTGGCACAGGAAGAATCCAAAATGGCCGGCTAAAAACTTCGCCTTTTACGGATGGCATTTAGGCGCTTTGGACCTTCCATCTTCCTACAGGTGCTTAAGGTTTACATTAAGCTCCATTCGGAATGTGCCATGCATGAAAGGCAGCCCTGGCACAAGCACTGTCTCACCGCACTTGAAAAACTGCAATGAAGTTCGAAGATGCACGTAAAGGGTCTGTTCCATCTCCATTAATAACTGAGGATGAAAGCTCTCAGGGTCTACAGTGAACAATATTGAATCCTACGTCGCGGTTTGCTAATGGTATAATTAATCCTGAAATATCCAAACCATGCTTGTCGTCACCTTATGAAACTTAATCACAATACCATTCTGAAAGATCACCAGCTTAAGCTGGCCACACAGTATAGCGAGTTAGAATACCGCAGGAATTTCATTTCACTTTGTGTGTGTTAGCCTTAGGAAACTGTTTCCACTTGCGTCGTTTCTTCTCCCACACCATCGGCATTCAAATGACCTACGGATGCTACACTCATGCTGAGGCTGCGGATGCATTCATGTTGCT